GTTAAACTAATTTTTTTAAAATAAAAATTTTATTTTAAGAACACATAAATGTACAAGCAACTCAAGGATGACCAATTAAGGGCGTCAGAAAACACAACCAGGGGTTCCGAGAAGGTTGGAGGGGTCACAATGGTCCCACTTAAAACCCAAACTTCTTAGACACCGAAGGTATCGCCTAAAGAACTCCTAAACACTGTATTAATGGAGGTGCTCACTAGAGTTACCAAACGTCAGCTCAAATGATACATTCAAATGCTTAAAATGTTTTTTTAAAATTTAAAAAGAAACATAAACTTAAAATTACTAAAATAATAACAAAACAAGTAAAGAGAAAGGATTGGAATACTCCCCCTTGAAGCAACTAGGTCGAGCATGAAGTCATTGAAGGTCGCGACTTCTCCCAATACTCCACACTTCCTATCTTTATGATTGAAGTAGCCTTCTCTCTCCCTTTTTATTGAGCTAAAACAAACACAGAAAACTTGAAACATAATTAAAAGGATTACGGAATAAAAACTGAAATAAAAAGGGGAAAAGAGAAAGTAAAACAAGTAGGGAAATGAAATAAAACCAAACTCTGTTGCCAATCCCTAGCAACGGCGCCAATAATTCATTACGTCGATTGAGCTGCACCAAAATTGATTCAGCTGCATCCTCAACTTGTGATACTCGCAAGTGCATGAGTCTTTTGGTAGTATAGCATATGTCAGTGCGAGGTCGAGAGGATTGATGATAGATTGATTCAATTTGGTTCCCTGTATAAACAAAAATGGAAACAAGGTTTAAAGATGATTGTGAAAACTACAAAGATTGAAAACAAGAAAGAAAGAAAATAACTAACTCAAGCAAATAAGTTCCCAAGTTCAATTTAGATTAACAGATTGATTCTAGCTAAAGTATGATTAAACCATGATGTCTACTCCTAACCTTGTATTCCTAATTCCCTAATTTGATCATCTGTTGTTTAACTTAAAATTAAGCATTATGAATCCATTAAGCATAGAAGAACATTTTAAACAACTAAGTATGTATCTAATCCCGGTTGTCGAATTTCCATACATACTCTTCCTATTCATAGTTCAATTCGAATTAAAGCATGGTGTCTACTCTTAATTCAAATCAAGATAGCTAACATGCAAGCCTTAATAGTGATCAATCATTCAAACTAACATATTAACTTATAAGCATAATGAATAAGAATAAAAACCATAATTGAAACTTAGAAACTAATCAAACTTGAAAACTTACAATAAGAAATTACATTACAATGAAAATTAAAGTAGAACTCAGAAAAACTTAAAGGAAAATTTAGCAAAATGATTTTGTTACAACAACTGAGAACTTGAAAGGAAAACTAAGAGAATTTGAGGGAGATAAGGGAGAAGGGAGAGGAGCTCTAGAAAGGTGTTTGAGAGCTACCCCCCTTGGGGTGTGTTTACAAGCTTAGAGAACCTTACTATTTATAGGCCTAGGGGAAGTAAAAATCTAATTATACAATTGAGTTCACTAATCACACTCACTTCACTTAATATACAATTCCAGTCAGGGGTGGGCACGGTTCGAGTTAGACTGATTTTTGTCTCAAATTAGAACTGATCCGGTGCCATTCATCTGATTTGGTTCGATTCGGTTTTAATAAAAGAAAAAAGGGAGTTTCACTAAAACACCCAAAATAGAGGTTGAAATTATAAAAAAAATCCAACACTCAAAACACTTTATAAACACACCCAAAACTCATCATTACACAAACTCAAAACTCATTTATAAACACACCCAAAAAGTTGATTTTGGGGTTGATTTTGGGTGTGTTTCTATGTTTAAATAGTGCTTGGGTTTTTTTATAAATACATGTCTAGGATTGGGTTTATTTATAAATTTGTAAAGAAAAAATTCAAAAACTGTCTGGTTCGGGTTGAATCGGTTCCGGTCCAGTTCGATTTTGAACCGAATTATAAAAATTATTTTTTTAATACAATTCTCAACTGAAATATTATTTTTTTACTTGAAAATTAACAAATTATTCAATTTCATATAAAAACAAATATTAAAGTTAGAAAAGAGAGAGATTTTGAAATTGAACTTGGATAAATATTAGTTTTTTTTTTGTTAAATTAAAAATATAGCATTAAATATAAATATATATTGAAAATATATATTTTTTAATTTGATCAGTTCGGTTCGGCCCGGTCTGATTTTTGAAGACATGGAATCGGATTCAAAACCAGTCTAAACCGGTCCGGTTCGGTTTTTGACCAGTTTTTGACTTTTTGGTCAACTTGGTTTTTTTCGAGTTTGGTTCAATGCGGTTCGGCTCGGATTTCCGGTTCGCCAATTTGAGTGCCCACCCTTAATTGTAGTTGAAAACAGTTCCTCTTGTCTTTAGGCTTAGTGTTGCAGCTCCCCCTTCATCTTCTTTTATTTCCTTTGGCTACTACAAAACTCGACTCCAATTATAAGTAATGAATCTACTTCACTTAACTTTCCCACAATTAATAACACCTCAAGCATATGTCATGCATAACAATGCATTGCAGTCTTTTTTTGGGCTCATTTTAAGCTTGTTCCTCCATTCTGAAAAATCTGAAAAAATATGGATCTTGAAGCTCTTTGTCTCATCTTTCCAACTATATGCAGCACAGCTCAAGAAAAAAATCAGAAAGGCCTTCAAATGTCAGTTTAGGCACAGTAACACAAATGCTGCCGAATTTCACCTTAAACTACCAAAACTTGCATAACTTCCTCTAGAAGACTCGGAATCATGAACCGTAAAATGCTCCAGAAACTAGACTTTCGCATCTTTCCAATGATGTATGGCTCATTATTTAATTCTTCCTAAGAAAGTATAGTCCAATCCGAAGTTAACTGATTTGTAGACACAGTTTTGAGCTCACTTGACTTCAAAATACATTAGAGCAATTCCACCAAGCAGCCCAAGCCCGAGGCTGGGAGGGGCTACTCCAAAAACCACATTCCAGCGGGCCAGTCTTGCCCTGGCAGGAGATGGGGCCCACGAACCCAGGCTGGCCCTCAGGCAAGATTTGCCTTAGTTCCAACCCCAGTTTGCTGATGTCAGCGATGACGTCAGCAACAAAATTTTTTTAAAAAAAATCTTTAAAAAATACCAAAAAATTCAGATTTTTTTATAAAAATAAATACCTAGTCATATTTTTCACTTTCCACACAAAAACTCTATACAAATTTCTTTCCTCATATCTCATGTGAATAGTTGTTGCCATGGCAATAGGTGGAAACACCACAACCTTTTGCTATGGCAGCTACTATTCACGTGAATAGTAGCTACCCTAGTCCCCCCATTGCCATGGCAAATGACAAATGGGTGGAGTTGCTCTTAGATGAGTCCAAAACTTAATACACTGAAACAAACACAAAAGAGATTAAAAACATAAATTTAACTAAAAAACATAACCAAATCATAAGCTAGAATGGTATAAAATGATATGTAATTATGCACCGATCAATAATGTATAAAAAGATTACATCAGTTAGACGGTAAATTCCGTAATTGAATACCCTCAACATCTGAATTGAAATTAACTTGAGAGAGTTGTTTATCCGATTCCCCTTTCCTATTCGGCTTATTTATGTACATGCCCCTTGTGCTTTTAAACTTGTCTCAGATTACCACATGTGTTTGCAAACGTTTCAAAGTACCCCCAACCTTTTAAAAACCATCTCACGTTACTCGTTCCGTTACGAACGTTGGGCCTCACTTCTTTTTTTCTCCTCCTTCCCCTCATTCCAGAGCAGCAGCCTCTTCCCTTTGTTACTGTTCATCCGACCAGTTTTTGAGCCGCCATCTCCTCCTCCGGCCACCCCAAGTGACGACATGGGTATCAAAAGAACCAGCACGTTGTCCTCTACCAACCTCACATCTCAGCCGCTGCCAAGCACTTTCTAGATCGCCAGAAAAAGCAAGAAATTGACCGATTTTTATCCAAAATCTTCATCGCTCGTTTGGGTGATTCTGAGCACCATTTGCTTCGATCCAGGTATGTTTTTCAACCTCTCGAGCTGTTCTTGCTGCTAGTTGTGTTGGTTAGGAGAAATTTCTGAGTTTTGGAGGGTAAATAAGCAATGAACAGTAATAAAGGGGAGGGGCTGCTGTTCTGGAATGGAGGGGGGAGGAGGAGAAAAAAAGAAGAAAAAAGGAAGTGGGGCCCAACATTCGTAACGGAACGTCAAAAAAACTGACGGAATGGGTAATATGAGACGGTTTTTAAAATGTTAGGGTGTACTTTGAGATGTTTGCAAACACATGTGATAATCTGAGACAAGTTTGAAGCATGTACATAAATAAGCCTTCCTATTCTTGATAAGTAAATATGTCATGAAATTCATATTTTCAGGCACTAGTAAGTAATCCCGAAAGTGAAAATGGCATGGATACAACCTTTTCAGTTCACCACTCTCTATCTAGTAAAAGCATCCACAATCACACTCCCTATTTCTTAGCTAAAATTTAGCTAAAAACACAAAAAAGCTATTATAGGAGCTCTCTAAAAAATTCCAACTCCAACCATACTCCATAATTTGGAGAGTCATAAATGCTTTACTTCTTTTAAAATTTAATTCCTGATTTGCAATAAAATATTCATATTCAAATACTAAATATTCCAAAATAATAAACTACAATGATATTGTAAGTTTATTTGTTGATCAATTTTGATATTCTATGGTTGTTGTGTTTGTTTGTGCTTTGCAAAGCACCTAAAGCTACGGCAGAAAGAATAGAACAGACAGTGTAGGTAGCTTGTAATAGAAAGTGATTACAAATATAAAATGCAGAAAGAAAAAAAAATTGATAAAATTAAAGATATCATTAATAAATGTTTAAAATAATAATAAAATATGATAGCATTTAATTATAGGGAGTTACTAGAAGTCTTTTCTCTCTCCTCAAATTTAGAAGCTACTAGAGGTCTCCCTATTTTAGGAGTTGGATAAAGAGCATGATTGGAGGTGGGTTTTTTGAATTCCTCCCCAAATTTTAGCTAAGGAGGTGGTTTAGAGAGCCCGTTGTGATGCTCTAACGATTTCACCTCCGATGGGTATTAATTAGTAAATACTAGACTAACCCACACGGCCGGTCTTGAAAGTTCAGGTGAATCTTCGTGCGCCGCTGCCCCCGACCACGTTCTCAGGTAAACTCGTCGACTCGTTCTCAGTTTTCAGTTCTGTTTGAGTTTTATTTCATGACTATTGTTTGGGCAATTTCAGGGGTTGACTATATTCTGTGCTTTTGTGGATTTTCTGGGTTATATTTGCAATATGATTGATGGAAACAAATAGAAATGGGATCTGTTTCTTGTAATATGATTGAATTCCAATTGTATTGCTCCGTTTGTGTATCCACTGAATCCGTTTTCTGAACTGCATTGAACACTTAAGCTTCAAATTGTATGTTTCATTGAATCTGTTTATATATTTTCTATGTGGTACAATCTGTTTGTATATCCATGGAATGCTGAGTTAGAGTCTCTCTATCAGTCTAAGAAACAAACACAATGCTGAAGTTCCTGTCAAGGGTGAGGATTGAGTTCAATGCCTTGGACCCACGTACGGCCTCGTGTCTTGAGTTCTTGGCACAGTGCAATGCCCGGAAGGCCAAGGAGTCCAACCCCTCCTGCGCTGTCCAAGTCAAGCGCCGAACTGATGATGAGCCGCCCAAGATCACCGTCACCTTCGTCAACGGAGTTGAGGAGGTGTTCAATGCCACCGCCACTCCCGCCCAGGACATCAGGAACATGATTCTTGAAAAGGGTCAGAGCCTCGAGACTGAGCAGATGTTCCGCGACGCTGGTGAGCCTTGGCCTGTTGTTATTCCCGCCGAGGAGCTCCACCAACCGGCCCCTGGTACCAAGGTGCGTAAAGGTTTTACATTTCTCTGATCGTTTTTTGCTTTTGCTGGTTTGTTTTTTGGGTGAACTGTCAGTGTGGCACTCCGTCGAACATCTATCATGCAATGAATGAAAAGGTGGTTGGATCCGATTTTATTGTTTTTTCAGTACTTACTGGCACTGTTTCTTGTTGACTTGATAGTAACTACATGCTTTGAATCTTTGGACTGTTGAAACTTATTATTATGTAATGTTTATTATTGGTGTAATTACCATTGTTGCTATTGTTGTGCTTGCTATGTGCACAATGATCCCGTTGCTATCATTTTTTATTCCTCCCAAATCCCAATTCACTCTTTTTTCTTTCTCCTTTTTGAGGTAAAGTTTATTATACAGATAAAACTATCACAATTTTCATATTTTGCAATTCATGTTGGGATTTGTTATCTAAAAAGAATCGTATCGAATTTTAGTAGTTGCCTCACCTGTTCATATCAAAATCCATATCGAATCATATCAGAATCCTCTTGCTTGTTATGTTTCTTGTGTTTTGTATTTGTCTGTGTTCCTCTGTGGCTATTGAAAGATGATTCTGTAGCCTTTTGCATCTGCAGGCCCCCTTTGCTTTTAGATAGGGGGATTGAATACCTCTCTTTTGGTTATCTTATTACTAAATGCTCTTTCTGCTTAAGCCCTAGAAGGATTTTTTTTGTTATCTATTGTTTCTCTCATGGTGCCATGCGTCGTTCTTTCAGCCGAGGAAAGCAGAAGAGAAAAAGCAGTAACCTGTTCTCGTTTGATCAAACAGATTACTGGGGAGCGCTTGTATAGTCAAGTCTGCTAGATTTCAGTTCGGCGTTTCATTTGGAAAAGAGAATGCTGTATTGGAGTTGCAATTTAGACAATTCTGTCATGTTGTGGTTTTGCTTCACTGTAGAAGCATTTGATATATTTAGTTGATGTTGAATCCTCGGAGTAGGAATTGTGAATGCTAGGAGCCATGTTTTCTTCTTCGTTTTTTTGACACTTTTGTTGGAGCTTACAGTCATTATAACATTGTTCTGGCCTGCATGTGAGAGAGCAAGTAATTTGAATAGATGGACTGTTAAGTGTCTCTATCTTGTCTTTAGACAATTCAACCAATATTATTTTTGTAATCATACTCGATAATTGGTAAAGCTAGTCTCCAGTCCTCATTTTTCTCCTTTATTTGTTTCAATTTTTATCAAATATTATGTATCATCACGACAAATTTAGTCGTCAGTTTAACATGATATTTTTATTTTTGATCTTGAAATTCATTTGGAAGGGTCAAAGTTGGGGACAGTGGGATGTCATGCTACGCTTTTTTAAAAGTTTAGTACCCAAAATTCCATTCTTGAAAATACATTTTGACGTTTTCAAACTCAAGGCACCATTTTGAATCTATTTTATGAAAATGATTTTCTGTGTGTTTTTAAAATAACTCACCGAACGAATATTTTCATTGTTTCTGACTTTAGAAAACGGAAAATGACGACTAAAAGTGGTACCGAACGGCCCCATAATTTTTCATATTCTGTTTTTGTTTATCAATTTTATCGCAACAGTAAAGTGAACTGTAAATTTACAAAGACAAAAAATGAGAAGTACTACATAAATAAAGGGATCTAAATAGCAACACAAGTAATGGTGCTAAAGCATAATCATAGAGCACAACTGATCAAACTCATGACTTGTCAATCAAAGTAGGCCCACAGATGCTTCTCTATTGTACAAAAAAGGAACAAAACACACAGTTGGATTGGGAGAAAGTATAATTTCTGTCCATTTACACAGCTTAGCTTGGCCAAAGCACGAAACAAAAAAGCTTGATGGCCTCAGCCAGCCCTCCGTCTAAGACCACTTTGCAAATCCCAACCCAACTACTATTATTATTATTGATCAAACATAAGATGTGAACACAACAACTTCAACAAACTCTGGCATTTCAAGGGGGATGAGATAAACGAACATGTGTATACAGTTTCAATCTTTCGGGCCATTAGGCCTGAACACTAATTATACAATAAATGAAAAGGGGCAAAAATTGGAGGAATTACAACCATACTCTCAACTAGGGGTACCCGTACCCTGACCTTTGTCTTGATATGCAGCCTCTAAGCATTCCTTGGCCCTGTGAACTTTTGACTGAAGGTAAAAGGTCCCGTTCTTGGCATTATTTTCGAATAAAGTGTCGTATCTCTGCACAGGGTTAAGAAAGACGTTCAAAATGCATATATGAGACGGTAAACAAGATATAAATGTGGAAAGTATTTACCTTCATAACTTCCTCCCAAGTGGTTGTCTCTGAGACATTAAGAATCTGCCTAGCTTCTTGCTCTGTCATGACCTTGCTGCTTCTACGAACAGCATTCTGTAATGTTTCTTGAGCCACACCCGATTTTGAGGCATCTACAAGATACCACAGATAATTAAATAAGGGCCAGTGCATCTAAAGTTGGTATGAAATTTAGCAGGGGCAAGGAAAAGAAAAACAAATTAGATCTAAGCTCTGCCAAATAGATAGTCTCCTGAGATTATGTTTGAGTACTTAAATATGTGCATAAATCTATACTCTAACCCAGGTCACGACAGTAAAGGGCAGAAGGGGACCAATAGTACCTAAATACACCCTTTGATTTTTTTTTTTTCCCAACATTGACGAGTATTTATCACTATTATCTGTAATCTGTACAGGAACAATTTCCTTGGCTATGTGGTTATTTGAGCTGCACCTTATTTCTCCTTAGGGATGGAGGTCAAATCTTAAACAATGAATTTTCTGAAGTTCCAGCAAATCCTTGCAAAACAGTTTGGCCTCTATTTCTCCCCAACATCACAGGCAACTTTGTTACCAACAGATAGTGAACTTATTAAAGCATATCTGAATCAGAGTTTGTAATCAGTTATGCAAAATCTCCATTTGAATCCATTATTATAGGCCACCACATATTTTTTCTCACAGCGTTAACAACCCATTTCACCTTCCTCCTATATCATCATGTCAATAGCTTTTGCATTGTGAAAACTAGATAAAATAGGCCCCAGCCCAATTCAAGAAAGCTTAGACCATTTGGCGATTTTAATTTCCTGATAGATCAGAAACCTCTTGATCTACCTGTGGGATAGGACTACCAGACAAATATATACTAAATTTTTTCAAAATTCAATAGATAACTGAAACTAGTACTATTTTAATTTGTTCTATTTTGGGACCATTCTGTTAGATGAGCTAGAACCTTAAACAAACATAACTACATGAGCCACAACAGTCAAAAGTAACTTACCGAATCAGTATAAAAGCATGATTATCAAATCAGCTACATAATATTGCAAAAAGAAAAAAACTATGCTAGAATTACAAGCCACACATTGAGTTACCATGACCAAAGAAAACTTACTTTGAAGTGCCTGACGATATGCTTGAACTAGAGCCCTTGCCACTATACTAGAACCCATCACAATTAAGTTAGCAAGAATCTTTGCAGCCTGCACAAATGTATGAGCAAATGACATAAAGCAGACAATCTGATGAACATGAAGTCAAGAGAAATTAATGTCATTTTAAAATCAATGCTTCCAACATTGACTCTCTCTCTCTCTCTCTCTCTCTCTCACACACACACACACATGTTCGTGCAAGCATGCACGCACTAAACTTGATGAACACAATCAAATGAAATCAATTTGTGATAGTGAACTCTCTGACCTTGTTCCATCTATTCCTATCATCATGTCACTAAACACTCAACAAAAATGCTTCTCGGAGGAAAAAGGAAGTTCAAAAGCAACCAGTGACATTTTCACCTTAACCATGCTCATCTATGAAACTATTTCTTCTAAACAGTGCATCAAGTAAAACAACAAAAATGGTCAATGCTACCAAAAAATAATAATTTTGTTTCTTTAATGAGCATCACAGAAACATGCCACAGCGAACAAGCTTTCCACTGGAAAGCAAACCAGGTGTGTAACCAAAACAGCACACAGTGACCAAATAAACCTGAGTTGCAATCCCAAAATGCCAAGCCAAAATAAAAGAGAGTCCAAGAGGCAGGTGGCTTCCAAATTCCAAACTGCATCAGTGAGTACAAATTTTATATCCCAAAAGTTCAACGAAGCACATCAAGAAGCACAAAAGCTAATTCTACCAGAGATGGCCTAGAAATAAAAAGTAGACAAATTTTTGGATTATTATTAAACCTTAATGTTGGGATAGAATAGAACTTAGTTTGAATTCAACCCAGCCATCAACCAGCCAATATTAAAATTAAATTGGGAAACAAATATACTCTCCTTTACATTAAAAGAAATTTTTTTGTCGATTTAACATCTACAATAAGCATATCAAGCACCTCAATGCTCTAACTTTCCGGGAAGAAAAAACATCAACATATTTGCATACATGAAATATCGTCCCAAAACACCGTAGACAATCTTGAATTGTTGGTGGCCTAACTTCAAGTTTGAATTAACGTATAACCGTATCAAAAATTTGACAAGTGTCACAACAAGTTGAATTTCCAGGTTTTTTTTTTCTTCTTCTCGGAAACTAGACAGAACATTAATGCGAGAACCGTGAAATAACAAAGAAGAGAAGAGGAAATGGAGCATACCATAGCTGAATAGTATCAAATCGATCACTCTGTCTGTCTTCTTTTCCGTACAAATTAGGGTTTCCCGTTTCTTTTTCTTCTTCAGAATTTCGCATATGTTGTTTTATTGATGTTTGGTTGATGGGTTTGCGCATAGGAAGCGAAAAACTTCGTGTGGCTTCGGATCTCCTGTAGCCAAATATACTTTGCCCTCTCTGTCTCCTATCTACCATTTTGACACGTGCAACTTTACTTAACGGAGCTTCAACGCTGTCAAGACTTATAAAAATTAAAATTAAAATATTTTAATTTAGAGGAACAGTTTTAGTTCTCAAATTAATGGCCAAATTGGCGGAAGCACTCAATTGGAACGGATGAGAGAGTTGGATGACATAATTGCCTAAAAAAAAAGTTCAAGAACCCAATTGCAACTCGAGGTAACGGGGCCGAGAGATGGTGGTTCGGTTAGTGGTGACATCCGGTGGTGGGGGTGCCCTCTAAACCTAAAAGGGGCAAAATAATCTTTTTCCGTATCAATTTAAATGGGCATGGGCCACCTTATTGACCAACCTATTATAAAAGAAATTTCTAAACCCATCAATCAAAACCAAAATACTTGATTTACGATATCCTAATTTTTAAAGTTTTTAACCACTATACACTAATTTTTCTTTTTAAAAAAAATGTACCTTAGATCACATATGTTTAGGAGCACATGCTATGTCTTTATTATAATTTTTTTTTTTTTTTATTATTCGTAAAAACTTATGTTTCAAAAACCATTAGTAAAAGTGCTTAGCAAAAAAGAACTTAGGGCTAGTTTGACATTACTGTGCTTTAAAAAAAAACTGTTTTTGATGTGCTGTGAGAATAATCAGTTGTGAAAAAAAATCAATTAGGCGTTTGGTAAACTATATTTGAAAAAGTACTGTGAGTAATCAAAGTGTTTGGTAAATAACCAAAAAGAAGTGCTTTTAGTATGTACAATGACCAAAAAGGGCATGATGATGGAACTATTTGTTTTTCTTCTTCATTCTTTTTCTACTTAAAAAAAACTTCACTACATAATTTTTTTTCTTATTTTATTTATATTCTACACGTGTTCCTCTCTTCTCAGAAAAGTAAATGCCTTTTGTTATGTATTGAATGCTAACCCAATGACACCAATTGGAAACCCAACACAGCCCATCTATCCACTTCAATTTTTCTCTTTCTACCATTTACAAGTTTTTTTCTTCATTCCTTCATCTAACCAGAAATATCTCATCTTTCCCCAGTTTTATTTTTTTCTTTCTTTTAATATGTTTCCCCCAATTGTTTTTAGTACTTTTTTTGGATAGGTGAGACTGAAAAGGGGAAAAATTGTTGTTTGGGCCAAAAAAGAGGTCCACGCGCCAGCCCACTTCTCACAAAGGCCCACAAAACAGAAAAGACGGAAGACTGGGCTTTGACTCAAAAAAATAGAGAAAGCTCAAAACCAGATCAGAAGACCCATGTCTTTTACAAAAATGGCAGAGTTGTAAAAAAGTCAAGATTAAAAGGCAATCAACCACTAAAGCAGATCAATAAAAAATTAAAAGAAAAATTGGATTGGGCCCAGCTTCTGGCTCACCATTGATCTCAAAACCTAGAGTGCAAGGTCAGCAGATCTTTTTGGAAAGCCTATTCTCAGAACCCACGTGACTATCTGACTTAGAAAAGTCAACAATTTCAACTATCACAAGAGAGTTAATTGAGAATTAAATGAAAGCAGGTCGTTAGCAGAAAGACTTCTCTGAAACTCTGGGGCTAAAAGATCATAATCCTTTTGTATACAATTCTGCATCAGAGCAGGTGATCTTTCCAAGAGATAAGAAAACTACAATCTCAAAGAGATAAGTGGGAAGTAGGGAGTTGTTCAAATAAACAATCAAAACTAACCATCACAGTTCTAAACTCTTACAAGGAGCAGTTAAAATTGGAAGAAAGGTTAAGTTTTTCTTCAAGAAAACAAGGAAGTGATTGCCTTAGGAACTGACTATTGAGGGCTTATCTGCCAGAATTGATAGACCCTTTTTCCTTTGCATTTTAAAATGAGAGATCTTTTGAGAACTTTTGCCGCCTATTATTAAAAGAATTAGAAACCCAACGCCAAAACATTTCTTATAAATATAAGAGAGGGTGAATAGAACACAGGACAATCAAATCAACCAAAGACAAAACTCAAAATGATCACTTGATCTCTGAGAACCTTCAAACAAATTGAAGCAACCAAAAGCTCATACAAGCCACAGAAGAGGCCAGCTATAAATCAGAACTACCAGTTCAGACTTAAGAGAAATAAGTTATTCAAAACGAGATTTTTCTCGTTACAAATTTGGTTAAGCAAAAGCCAAAACAACAGAGTTTGAGTTTTTACAAATATGAAAACCTCAACAAATTTATGAAGAGCACTGACCAAGCAGGATAGATACCATAATACAGTTCCAGCTCAGTAATCCTCAAGTCCAGCCACTTCTGCCCCTTTCAGACTGAAGAGACCGCAATTCTGCCCATTCAAAAAGCCACACAGGGCTCAAAATAGATTAAAGTTTTGCCAAACTCAAACTTTGGTAGTGATTGACAGCTGAAGCTTAGCAGTTGAAGTTGGGAACAGTCTAGTCCAGCACAAGCAAACCCAGTCCAACCCGGATCAGAAGCTTCTGTCCAGGCATAAATGGAAGTCCAGCCTTCTTTTTGTCTTTCGAGAGTTGATTTTTTACTGTACAATTTTGTAAAAGTTAGTTCCGCCTGAAAACAGTTTATGTTCTTACTATTTATTCTAGCAAGAACTAGGGATGACAAAAATCCTCGCGGGGCAGGTCCCCGACCCTAACGGTGGGAGATTTTGGGGCCAAACTGGTATCGGGTAAGGGGATCCCCGAACTTGAAAAATCCCCGTAGGTATGGGGAGGGGATGGTATTGGCGTCCCCATCCCCGAACCCGACTCGAAAATATATATATTTATATTTAAATAAATAAATATTTAATTATAATATTTTTGTTTAACCCTAAGTTAACCTCCATCTCCTAATTCTTCCTAATCTTCTTTGGAATTTCATATTGATGCGATTTTGAATAGTTGAGTTAAACTTTATAGTTAATTTGGAAGTGTTGAATGATAATTTAATATGAAACTTAATGTTAAAATGTATGATAAATATTTTGTATGTAAAAAAAATCAGGAATTTGGGCCGGGTATGGGGAATAGTCCCCCAATGGGAACGGGGCCCGAAACCTATTAAACGGGAATGGGTTCAGGGACGGGGGCGGGAATGGATAGCTGGGACGGAGATGGTATTGTCATACCCGACCCCTACTTGACCCGTTGCCATCCCTAGCTAGAACTACCAACATTGTATTATGAAAAATTATGAAGTCATCATCAGTCTGAGGCAGGAAAAGAACTTACTTGGGAGATATTCCTCACCCAAATTCACAATCGCTTGTTTAGAAATCAGTAACTTAGGGCGCAAGTTATCTATTTTTAAGAAGTCAGGTAGGATTTTTATTGCTAGCAGTGGCATGCTCGCACACTAAAGAAAGTTGACTTGTCGACCAGTCAATGATTTTCAAGGCAATGGGGGCCTTTACCCTTCCATCACAGGAGCAAGCATAAAACGGGTGAACAATTTGGCACGCCTAGTCGGACTTTTCAGTATACATACTCCTAGAAAACTTTTCTAAAGTATATGAATATTGGAAGTTCTAGCCAGAACCCACGTTGCACAATGGAAAGAGATCAAGCAGCTCTCCTAGTAGGGCTGAAGTAAGAAGAAAGTGATGCCATGCAATCAGCCCATAGCAGTACTGGGAGCAGACGTTCCAGATCTGGCTCTAAGAGGTTGAATTAGATACAGGAAGCTGTGTTCCAACAGAAGGCCACAACACAAAGGAGTTAGGACACTCTAAACAACATGATAGCCATGATGCAATGGCAAGTCAACAAGCAGTTCAAGAAAGACCAAGAGGCTGCTATGATCAGGATTCCAAACCTAGATGTTGTAGTCCAACAACTAGACCTCCCTCACGATCCTCCACCAGGATTGGCATGGACATATCAGGAAACCCTCTCGTCGCACAGATAGCTGGAATACCGGGGCATGGAGAGATCCAAGCTGGACAGAAGGGAGGAGCCCCTCCTGTCCAGGAGCATGATGTTCCAGTTCGGCCAGAAGGCCCTGCTCCAGTTTAGGTTCCCCAGAATCAGCCAGAACCTCCACCTATTCCACAACTTGTGGCCCCTCGTGATCAACCCTTGACACTTCTGCATGAAGCACCAGCTGTGTTGCCCTACAGACCCAGAATGATGGATCCCAATCCATTCTCTCCACCGGCAAGAGGCAGAGGAGGCGGAGGGGAAATCAACCCATTTGCCAACAATGACAGGAATAGACTGGGGACAAACTGGAGGAATCATCTAGATCTTAAAGAAGAGGAAAAACACAGGGAGGAAGTTCTGCCCAGGCCATACAGAATGGAGCACATGATTGACCATGCCCAGCCAGAACAGGGAAGAAATCTGCACCCTGTCAATGCCTTGAAAGACATTGGGGCACTACAGAGAATGATCAGGGAAATGATGGAGCCTGAAGCCAGAAGAAGGGAAAGGCCCACCTACAGAAAGCCATATCTGGCTTACATTGATTAGATACCTCTATCCCCGGGTTTCAAGGTGCCAAACTTCACCTTGTTCAATGGAAAAGATCCACATGCTTCATCAGTTGAGCATATAGGCAGATTCTTTGTCCAGTGCATAGCCATAGAAAATAACCCTTTGTTAAAGCTAAGACTTTTCAGGAATTCTCTCTTTGGATAAGCCTTCACATGGTACACCTGTCTATCAGCTAATTCTGTTCAAACCTGGGAACAAATGGAAAATGTTTTCTATGACTACTATTTCAGGATCCAGCCAGAAGTTACCATTAGTGATCTTGCTGCCCTTAAACAGAATGTAGATGAGCCTGCTCAAGGCTTCATAACCAGATTCAGAAAACTCAAGATGAAATTCCGGATCCCTATGGAAGAAAGGGACTTTATCCAGATGGCTCAAACCGCCCTTAAAATCTATTTGAGAAAAAGATTTGACGGGATGCTGTTTAGAGATCTGGCAAAACTGGCAGACAAGACATCGAAATATGAGGAGCTGCTTAGG